TTTTTTTTTTTTTTTTTTTTTTTTTATACCCCGGAGATATTTTCGTTTTTCTTGAAAAACGTTAGGAAATCCTAGAGGAAAAAAAAAAACGTACGGTAAGTACTTGGCAGAAAACTTACTGAAAACGATCCGCAGCACCCGAGCCGTTGAGTCCAATAATAATGTGAACGCGTTAAAGTAGACGAGGTGAAAGACGAGAAAAAAATAAAAAAAACCGAAACCGTGTCCGCGGGTTCGGCCAGGAAATACGGCGAATCGCGGTAGGTATACGACGGCGGTGATGATCGTCAAAAGCGCAATGCGAACGGATACGCGCGGTGCACGTGTGACGGGTCCGTGTCGGCGGTAGGTCTACGCGGTTGGCCACTGGTACGTCGGAGCACGCAACGGCGACTGAACGGACGACGGCGACGGATGCCGGTCGCGATGACGGGACAGACGAAAAGTGAAACTTCGTTTCGGCCGCCGCCGCCGCCGCCGCCGCCATCACGCCCTCCGCTGCGGCCTCGTCGCCGTTGCCGCCGTCGTGAAGCGCTGCTTCTCGAACGGCCGGCGAGTCGCCCGAGTGCGACAAAAAAAAAAACGCCCTGTAAAACGTGCGGCGAAGCTGAGCTGTCGCTGGAGTCGCCCCGGCTGACTGTACTGTACACTGTTGCCGTCGTCACGATATTCCGCGGGCCCGCGTGTAATATTACGGGAATTTAAAAAATCCGGCATTGTTTTACTGCGAACACGCGTGAAATCCGGGCGCAAAAATGGTCGGGCAGGGGGTAGACATTTGAAACCGCCAGACGGCACACACCGCGCCAGTGGCGTATTCACGGCGGCGGATCACGGGGATAGGTCCGCCCCTGTGACTTTTTTTTTCACATATTATTAAATTATATGGACTATACATGTATACTTAATGCACTACTCAGTAGTCGGTACAAGTATCAATTGATAATTTGAAGTTGTCAAAAAAAAAAAAACCGTAGATAACGTAAAACGCGCGGCCATCGAAATAAAATAATCATGTCTTATCAGTTACCAGTTAAAATTAATATCATCAACCACTGTCCATGATGCACAGATATTTAGAAGAAGTTCATTCTATATATTTTGTGAAATTTTAAAAATAATGGTCCGTGGTTTATGATATGACCCATAAAGTATGTAATAAATACTATTTTATGATATGATCATAGCGGTGTGTAGTCTGATACTGTTGGGATTTGAAATTGATAACTGCGACTAGTTAAAGCAAAATTCAACGAGAGTTTAGAGTCACTAAATCAGCATTTTCACACAGCTCACATATAAGTACGTATAAGCACGTATAAGTACTTTATAGCTTTTACCGAATTCGTAATATTTGAAGCCTGCTATTAAAATACTTCATACTTAACAAGTAATCTATAAGTATAAAAATAATTACATTTTAATGTTTGTGCTAAAGTATTTTATAACTTTGAAAATAAAAAACCATGTTATGAAAAGTGAAGTCTTTATTTATAAGTTAAGGGGGGAAGTTGTTGGGAGGGACATAGTCCCGTATGGGCCTGTAAATTAAAATGTTTGTCATCCACCCCCTAGAAGAAATCCTAAATACCACTGCACCGTACCTATATAAAATATCGGCCCCATGGTTTCATTTTGTGCACAAAGCTAAAGCTACCCGTAAGAACATGACAAAGTTCATATTAAAATCCAACCCAATTTTTTGCACTTGAATCTACCTATGAAAAAACTGATTCCCGAGTTTGAGCTCTTTTGGTTTAGAATGCTGTTAAAAATGTCCACATGTATCAGGAAAAGATATATATATATAAAAATATCTTAAAACGAATTTCGTATTAATCGATGTTAGACAACTTTGTATAATTTCTATAAATAAGTATTTTTTAAATTTCCATTAAAAAAAAATAAAAAATAATAATACAATGATCATAACAAGGCTTCGTATTCTATTTCTGATAGTACCTATATTTGTCTCTCCATGCACATTAACACACTGCCCTCTAGAAATGTTCATAATATTTTTTTTATCATTAAAACTTGTTTTTTTACAATTATAATGAATTGAATAAACATGTTTTATCAAAATAAGTTCTTGAGATTTTTAATAACATACAAACAGACTATAAGATTGGAGGTTGGAAGTTAAAATCTACTAAAAAATAAAAGAAACATTCTCGACAACAATTAGGTTTAAACAATATAACACATTTTTACTAAGTTACCTAGTTATACTAACATGTGTTTGTAACGGTATTTAAAACCCATTAACTGAACTCAGTTCAGAATAATTTTTTCGTAAGCAATTGTTTATCGTTGCTTACAAGTATACATTAAATTATCTATAAAAGTGGCTGTACCCGTCCCCATTATCCTAGGACGTCTTCTTAATTTTAATTTTTTTAGTAAATAAAATATAAATCTTTCAACTCTAGTGTAGGTATATTCATGGGTGTCCAGAGAGAGGGGGAAGACGGGGCATCTGCTCTAACTGGGAAGTTGAGAAAGTAGAGAGAAAATTGAATGTATACACAACGATTAACCATTACTAACGAAAAATGATTCTGAACGGAGTTCAGTTAATATTGTTGCTTTGTCAACAATATATAATATATAATATGTCATATTATAGTAAAATAATAACATATGCATTATATTTTCTTTAATAATATTTGTTGAATATTGTACCTTTTTTCCCATTAGTTATGAAAACTTCTGAATAATGTAAAGTACCGCTCCAATCAGATTTCTTTTCAGAAAAAGTGCAAATATTGTAAAAATAATACATTCCTCGCGCCGCTACATTTCATTTTAGAAATTATTATTTAATATGTATTTATTTTTTAAGTAACAATGTTTTTGAATTAAATACGAACCTTTACACTTTTATACATGTCAACAATAACAAGATTAAGTCTATGAGCTATGCAATGAATATTCATAATTGCAGGATACTTTTCTATGATCTTAGCTTGTACACCACCCAAATGGTCTGATATGATACTTGCTCTGTCATATAGTTGAGCAACAACAGAAATCTCCAATATTTTATAAACATTTACTTTTTGCATATCAGCAGAAAGATGTAATTCGACTTGAGTAAAAAAGTTATAGAAATTTAAAAAATGTAAAAATTATAATTCTACCTACACCGTCCAATGAAGGTTAATGTGAGCGTGACTAATAAACTAAAAACGCTAAATTAAAATAAAACTAGTTTCTATTTACAGCTAGTAGAAGATGATTCTGTTTCATTATGATGTTGTTTTTTTATAGTAATTATATTTTTCAAATATTGAAAACATACCTACCTAGAAATTAGTGACTGGTACCTAAACAACACAAGATTAGTTAACACTTGGCGACTTACGAGTTTAGTACGAGTTTAGTACCAAGAGAGAACTCGCTCGTGAAAATAACCAGAATGTTATGAACAAAATTGAAAACAATAAAATATTAAATTGTAGATAAATTAATCATTTGATATTTAATATGCCGGCTAGTGTCTTCTATCTATATCATAAATAGATTCTGTAAACACACAGTAATGAGTAGAACCCATATCGCACAGATATAAATATTATATTGGTTTATCTATCTTTGGTATAATATAGCATGTGCTAGTAAAATAATTAAAACAATTATTTTATAAATAAACAAATTATATCAGAAAAATAATAAATAATAATTAAAAAATATAACGAAAAAAGGTTGAGGGTATTAATTTTAAAACTAGGGGTACAAAGCATTACACTACATCAACAAAAAAATAAATAATATTCGTGACGAGTTTCCAGTAACATAGTAACATAAGAGTTTTATAAAACGAGGAAGGCCAGGATGAAATCATATTATATGAAGCTTAATGGATTTCTCACAAAAGCATGGAATAATTCCAAGTTTTAATTATAGCATTTAATTTGTTGATTTTGCTGTCCGTCCCGGATTCGTTCGATAAAATTACTGTTACCACCCACCATAGGTACTTTATGATATACCTACCTATGTGATTTATTATCATACGTAATTCATTGATTATGTAAATAAAACACCTTTACTTATGTTTAATTGAAATCCACGTTATCATATAATTTTAAGTTTACTCTATTTTGTTCATTCAAATATGCAATGGGGGTTTCTAATATTAATTTGGCGGTCGACTCCCCCCTATAACAGTTTACCTGCAACACGATTTTCTACAGGCATGACCATCCGCACGGCTATGCCGCCGCCGCCGCTGGTTTGGTGAAATTTTCGCGATGACATCACTCCCGGACCGCGCACGCATAAATATATCATATTATCGTCATTTGTATAATAGGAGATCAGCGTCAAAACTACACCCGAGGCCTTGAAATTCGAAACGCTTTATGGGAGCAACACAAAACCGACGTGCACTATATTATAACGAAAAAAACCGTTCAGAATTTTATTTTCCAATCGCTACGTATTTTCACTTATAAGTTATAGTACAATAAATTATGTATTAGTTAAATCGTAAGTAAAGTGTAATTATATGCATCTGTACAGTGGCGTACCTACCTATAGGATTGTTTTAGTTCTGTGGGTCAGCCAAGCTCGCGAGAGACCACTTGATGAGTAGAAAACCAACTATTCACAGACTATTTACTTAATTTATTTCATAATTTGACACCGACATAACTAATTTACATACAAAACCTACAAAAATTGTACAAACTTACATAAAAACGGTTAATATTAAGCATTTTTATTCGTTGAATTGTAATAAATTGCCAGTCGATTGACGATAACACATAACAAATCTTAGGTTGGTTTTATTTAAATCTATAAATTCTACTTGATAATTATTATAATTAAAACAAATTTACATTTTTATTTTGTTTTTATGCTAACCTAGGTAAGTCGTAGACACATATATATACGTAACAAATCTAAAGAGAGCTGCTACTGGGGATGGGAGCGGCCACTGTTGTAGCTGAGAAGTTGGGAAGGTAGGATACATAAGGTTATTACGTTTATATTTGTAAGCAACGATCGGTTTTAAATATATTGAGGCACTAGCTACTGTATACGGTACAAAAGTTTAGATTATTTTTTTTTCCAATGCCACTTATACGCTTTTAAATATAATATTTATTATATATTATAAATAAACATTCAACATAAAACCATAAGCGCAATTTGGGGTGCTAAGGGCACTTAGCCCTTCAAATACTTCTTTAACCCCCCTTAGGCACTGTTTGTATCAAATAAAATCACTTTTGATAACAGAATAATAGATATTTATTTTAAATATATAATATGTACTTATAGATAGATAGATCTATGTATATCCGTGGTTATGTATAAAACCGTGCTGTTATATTTATATTTAACTAGTTAACTATTTATATTTAGATTAAAATAGATTATTTTTCATTATCGATATCATGATATCAGTGTCACACTTAAAGTGCATACTGCATAGATATATTAATAAATGTATTTATAAGTCTACGCATTTGTGCATTGTTTTATATTATTTTAAGTCAGTCACTCAGTACTTTTTAATTATTGAGAAGAGGATAAAAAAGGGTTTGATATTTTTAATATGAGAAATAAAATCATTCAAAACAAAACGGTATCTTTTGGCGGGCATAAATCTAGTTCAGCGCCCACGCGATTTTTTGAGTTTTTTTTCAAAATATGTAGTTTTACGTGTACATTAAGAATATGAAAAAAAAATCAAGACGGACGAACTTCATTTTGAAGTTATGAGGGATAACTTCTTAAAGTTCGGGTTTTCCGTTTCGCGTATTTCTTAATTTTATTTATTCATCCAAAATGTGGCCAAAAATTGACATTTTTTTATTATTGTTATTTTTGTTATTGAGATTTTAATAACAAAGTTTTTTTATTGATGTAAGAATAAGGATATCTAGCTTAGTTTTAGAGTTACAAACGTTCAAACGCGAAGTGTCACGCTACCCCTCCAGGTCTTTAGGTGCACCCAAAATGTTTTTTCGCTTTTCCCTGTTACTTACCCGACGTAATTTTACACAAAAAATCGATGGTTATTTTCGATTAAAATTGTCCGAGGGAGTGAGTCCTGAGTAATCATTTAAAAGCAGGTTTATTTTAGTTATCTCTCTTTAATAACTTCACCTATTCATAATTATCATATTTATTAATATTAAAAAAAAATAGAACAATACAATTGTGGCGTTGTGAATTTTTTATTTCATCGGTTTATAATATTTTTAAACAAATATAAATAATACAATTTTATTAAAAACATCGGTGGATAAACTGCAGAATGTATGGTATTATAGTCGTCCAGTTTTATGTCAAATCAATACAATACCTATTATTTGAAAATATTCTAATATTTTTAATTTTGCCTATTATGTGTAATTTATAAAAAGTAAAATATAGAATATAATATCAATTTTTTTTTACTTTAATACCACATTATTAAACAGTTAATGGGTTGTGTATAGACAATTTTTACGAAAATTTTGAAAAAAATTCCCTTTATATACTAAGAATTAACTAGACTAGGTTTTGACTCTTAAATGATATTCATTATCCACAAAAAGTATGTGCTCTTATGAAACAATTGCTAAACAAGTAACAACTATGTTTTATGTATTGAAAAATATAGGTACATATTTTAAAAACTATAACGACAAAAATACCAACAATTCCAGTTTTTTTTAGCGAGAGTATTAAAAATATACGATAATAAATAATAATTATGTTAAAAATTGTGAACAATTATTTTAAAATTGCAGTTAATTTGTTATAAAATTACATCGTTA